GGTGTTACTTTTAACACTATATTTTAACACTAACACTATTTTTATGTTAATGTGACACCAAGAATTGTTGAATATTAAACACTGGTTGGTGTTAAATTAACAAAACAATGGGTGTTAAAATTTAACACTTTCACAAATTATTTTTTCACTTTCACCTAATTTCCCTCTGGGATCAATAAAGTATTTTTGAATTGAATTGAAGTGAAATGTTATTTTAACACCAGTGAGTGTGGACACATATAGACACTTTGTTGGTGTTGAAACTAACACTGTGGGTGTTAAATTAACACTGGCATTTTTGCTGTGTTTAAGAAATCACGTCTATATGCTTTATCTGTGCTCTGATTGTACTGCACTGACTATTTAGTTTGTGCCAAAGTCTGAACAGTTTTCTATAGCTGTAATAACAGTGTTTGATCTTTTGAAATGTGTGATGAATCCTACCTTTTCTTTGTTGCAGACAGTACAGAGGACCTCTGCCTCAATGGARAGTTGACCTCTGGCATCGTAAACCTCCCGACTCCTCAGCCTGCTGATTCTTGGTGGAGCTGAAAGTTTGAGAAAGTRCTCAGCCTGAAAGACAAAGAGACCAGGACAAAAGCAAAATGTTCTGATGTTTTTAAGCTTCCTATTTCAGCAAGAATATGAGCACAAGGTATCTATGTTCTGTATGAACATTGAATTAAAACAGCAAAGTAAATCGTACGTAAAGAACTTTATTGATGTAATTCATCATGAACAGATTGTTGGTTTTACATATAGTGTAAATCTGAAAATTTGAAGTTTCCCAACACTTAAATGGACAGAAAATAAGGAGGATCRACATCCTAGATGTGGGTTACTGGGGCCCCACCATGGATCCAGGTCTGGGGGGGAGGGGCTTGTCAACGAGTCCCTAGTGGCCTCTACCCATGGGGACTAATCAGGCTCAAGCCAACGAGCTGCGTGGGTTTGCCAGGAGTCAGGTGCAACGTGTTATGAGCAGCAGCTGAAGGCGGGGCATTGGAGTTCTGACCCTGGCTTACTGAAACTAGGTCTTGGGACTTTTTTGTTTTGTTTTGTTTTTTGTGAAGAGAAGTTTTGTCCCAATCTTCTTTCTTACATTGTTTCAATTCAATGCGGGTCATAGGCCTCTGATTCTATACACAGCTATCCTAAAGTTCTCATGAGGTTATGTATTTTTAATTAATTAAATAATTTAAATCCTTAAATGATAAAATTATGCAGTACAGTGGCACATCTGGTAGAGCAACATCTCTCGTCTATGGAAGAAGGTTGCTAGATCCACTTTCTGGGTTGTGTTTACATCTTCTCCCTGTGCGTGAGTGGGTTTTCTCCAGGTGCTCCAGTTTTCTCTCACAAACCAAAATCATTATTTATTAAAAGTAATATGTCATAAAAAATCAAATAAAAGAATAGTTTGGGATAGTAGAGGTACTGCAGTTTTTAAAAGATGTCTTTTTGTCCAGTTTTGGGAACTTATAATTACAGGTTTTGTTCACAAAAGTAAACATCAAAAAACAAATAAAACTGTTTTAACATAGAAGAAATTGTGGATTTAAAATTGAGAAAGTTTGTTTCTGTATATATTTTAAAAATATTTACTTTTTTAAAAGAAAAGCACAAATAGCCCATAGGCATCATGGTAATTATTTGTGAAGGAGAAGTGTCCCCCCTCACATACAAAATCAAATATGTTTGGACCCCCACATTAACCATAAAATATTAGTTCACCCAGTGCTGCTTCTTAACAAATTCGATTCTCTGGGGTAGGACCCCCAGAACCCCTGCCACTCTTATAACTCTTATAGCTTTCAAGCTGTCATTTTATAACAGCATCATAAAATTTCTGTTATGGATTTTAGTTTTGTTTTTTCAATGGCCCCCACATGCGCCCCCCCCTCCCCACTTCAGAAAGGGGGCAGAATATTTGCTAAAAAAGAAGAAAAAAGCTAAAATCTACTAAATAAAAGCTGAAGGAAGCTGAAAAATAGCACAAAAAAGTATCGAGATGAAAAGGTTAAAAGTACAGTAAAGATTTATGAGCATTTTGAAGGGTAAAGGATGTTGAAGACATTCAATTTCAATGAGTAAAATAAAAAAAAAGTTGAAAAAGCTAAATTTCTCCAAATGTATAATTGCCCAAAATACTAAAACTCATAGCAGGAATATCTCGAAGAAGCTGAATGTTTTATGAATTGTTGAAATTGCACAAAAATTGCGGAACAAGATACGTGCCGAAAAATATACGGCAGAAAAAACGATCTTAATAGTGTGAATGCTTTTTTCACACAATATGTTGGCATGAAAATAAAAAATAAAAAAATCAATTCCGCCCAACCCTAGGCCAGAGCATGGATGGTTTTCAAGTCTTTACAAGGTCTTCAGATTAGGGACTGGGCTCCTCTGTTTGTACTGTATGATGATGGAGCATGTAAGTCATGGGGGGTTGTTTATCATTGTGGTGGCAGCATGTCAGGGGTGTGGCTGGAAAGAGGGGTGGGGGTGGTGTACAGATCATGGAGAGCAGAGCAGGGTTTTCATCCAGGGTGAACAGAGCCTAAAGTCTTTGTTGATGTCTCTCCACCTTGGCATTGTGCACACACCTGACTGAATGAATACTGTACTCCCTGGCTTATTTACTGGAATTAATAATAAAACTAAATCTAGTATTCTTATTTGTGTTATAAAACATTTACTGGAAAAAACAATTTACTATCATAAAGTTTTAATAGACAAATAAATACTGTTGTCTGAGTTTTGTTCAGTTTCTTCTATTGCCTGAGCCATGACAGTCTCTTCGAGAGAGACTAAAATGTGGCACATCTCTTTTTTATGAGGCTGGGAGGTCACTAGTGTCAGGGACTGACAAATAACAAAAATACTTTTCTGTTTACTGGCTTTTTATTCTCCCGCATGTTTTCCAGTTTTCATACAATAGAGTTATTTAGAGGGAAAAAAAACACTGATAACCTTAGCTAAAACCTAAGAAACAATGTTTGCGATTGTTGGTTAACTCAACGCAAATTTCAGTGAGTTTTGGTGAGACGCTGTAGAGACTACTGAAAACATGAGCGTCAAACGCGAGGACAGGCTCATACCAGGTAACCGTGAACGTCTCCGGGCTGCCGGAGGAACAGCTCGTTCAGAGCCCTCTCTATTACCGGAGGAAGTCCGTTCACCCGGTAAAAGTCCGCCGCTGCGCTCCTCAGACTGTCCAGGTCCATGTCATCCGAGGAGTCACGCTCCTTAAACCTCTGTGGGTGCATTTTGGTTTTAAGACGTCGTCAAACACTTCCGGTGTTGTCTGTAACCAGGGAAACGGCGCGTTCAAATGTCGGGAGGAGCTCAGGAATCCAGAGTTCTGTCGGGGGCAGCTCTGTCACAAAGAGCCATGAAAAACTCACAAATAATAATAATAATAATA